CATAATATAAACAATGGCCTCCATCTGGGGTGAAAATGTGCTTGGATATTATTTTGTCCATGGACATTACCTGTTCTAAGAAGTGAACAGTTTTCAGAGGGCATAACTCAAGAAAAACAGTGAGCTTTGAGGAACAGATAATATCCAAGTACAAAATATCCAAGCATATATTTGTTCCAAAATATTGTGTTTATCATCCTTCAAATATTTTTCACAACATACGCGGTTTTGAAAATTGGGGAATATCACTTGGATATTCCTCAGTTTTAGGTGGGGCATATTCAGTTATGTAATATGTTTAGATAATCAGTCACATGCAGGCGAAAATGTTTGATGGGTTATAAATAAACAATAGACTCCATTTGTCTTGAAAATATGCTCGGATATTTGTCCATGGACATTATCTGTTCTGAGAAGCGCACAGTTTTGCAAGAATGAAGTCAAGAAAACTGCAAACTTCCTGGATCAGGTAATGTCCATGCAAAAATCTCCAACCATGTTTTTAAGGTCAAAGGGTGGCTACAGTATAATATTTGTGTTTATTATCCATAGTACTTCAAATAGTTTTCACAACGCACAGGGTTTTGAAAATTGGGGATTATAACTCTGAGATTTTCCAGTTTTAACCTTTGCATATTCAGTCAAAAACCCCTCCTCCTAAGCTATCCCAAATGACCTACAGTAACCACAGTTGCACTGTGAATGAAAAACAATGACTTACATTTTTCTCTCCATAGGGGAAATTTTCTTGGGTAGGGGAGGGGCAACTCTGGGAAGTGAGTTGACTGATCACAGCAGGCAGAGATGTTCCCTTGACTGCTCGTTATAAAGAAAAATATAAGAGGCTTCAGTCTGTCTGTTTAATTGGAAGTGTGCGTTTTAAAGTATTTACACTACAATGTTTATGACCATATTTATTTAACTGTTTCCAGCCCCTCTCCCCAATTCTGGTCCCTTATAAAACCCTTTTGATCTTTGTTGTGACAAATGGCATACATTTTTCTTATTTTAAAAGGCCTTCAAGACACAAGGAAACATAAAACATGAGTGGTGTATCAAGGTCTGGTGGAGAAGAAACATTCAAATGCAATGAGTGCGGGAAAGGTTTTACAAAGAACTCTACATTAAAAAAGCATCTTAAGGGGGTACACAGTGATGAAAAGCCTCATAAGTGTACACAGTGTGACAGATGTTTTAAATGGCCTTCGCAATTGCGAGAACACAAGAGAGTACATACTGGCGAGAGACCATACAACTGTACTCATTGTGAAAAGAGCTTTACAAAGAAGCATGTGCTTCAAAAGCACATGCGGGTACACAGTACTGAGAAACCGTACAAATGTAGTGAATGCGACAGTTCTTTTAAATGGCCTGAGCAATTGAAAGGGCACCAGAGAATACACACTGGTGAGAAACCATACAAATGTACGCAATGTGATAGTTCTTTTACATGGCCTACGCAATTGAAAGAACACAAGAGAAAACATAGTGGTGAGAAACCGTACAAATGTAACCAATGTGGCAAAGATTTTCGCAGGTTATCCAACTTGGCAAGACACCAAAAGACAATTAAATGCAATGACGGGCAGTACCACTGTGTTCAATGTGGCAGTTATTTTAGTCTCTCTTCAGAACTTCAGCAGCATCTGAAATTGCACACGAGTAAGAAACCCAGGCCCAGAGCAGTCCAATGTCCTCAATGTGGTGAACATTTCAAGACCTTTTTATCTTTACGAGAGCATCTGAATGTGATTCACAGTGAACCAAAACCCTACAAATGCACCAAGTGTGAAAAACGTTTCAAATGGCACCAAAACTTAAGTACACATTTGAAGATTCATAGTGGCGAGAAACCCCACATCTGTGCTCAGTGCAACAAATGCTTTGGCAGGTTATCGACTTTGGACCGACACTGTATATCTGTACACGGTGACATAAAGCCTTTCAAATGCAATCAGTGCGACAAACGTATGTCTGACCCATCAAGTTTGAAACAGCATCTTAGGATTCATAGTGGTGAAAGACCCTTTCCATGTAGTCAATGTGACAAAAGTTTTTACTCCTCTTCAAATTTTAAAACACACTTCAGGAAACACAGTGGTGTGAAGCCCTACAGCTGTGCTGATTGTGATGTAAGTTTTACTCACAAAGAGAGTCTGTTACATCATAACAGGTCATTTCATGGTGATATGCCGTACAAGTGCAACCAATGCGGCAAAGGCTTTACCACTCCACGTGGTCAAAAGAGACACAAGTGTGACAGTGACAAGTCTAAAACACCTAGTGATGTGAGCGTGGTTGTAGTGGCAGTACTGTGAGTAAGTTTTGTTTCGAACAACAGGTTTCAAGTGACTAGATCTACGTGTACATGCACCTACACTGGGTAATTTAATTACAGTTGAACCCTGCTATTTCAATTTCTTAGGGGAAATGAAACATTGTTCAAAATGGCAGGAGTTCGAAATAGCCCATAGTAAATAACAGAAGGGAAAGTCCAAGGAAAATGGTTTTGAGTTCGAAATCACGGGGAATTTGAAATAAGTGAGTTCTAATTAGCAGGGTCCAACTGTAGCTTCCTTTTCCCCCAGGCTAGGGATAGGGCCAGGTTTCAAAGAATAAATCCACTAGTACACACATGTAGCATAGCAATACAATTAGAATGTTAATTAGATCTGGGAAACGTTGTATTAAGACATTTGTAGTTTATCACTCTCTTGATGTGAGACTGAATTTTGATGTTTTTAAAAGAATAGTTCTTATTTACTGATGGTAAATGATAAGTACCTGCCTGACCAAGGCTGTGGTCTAAGAAAAATTACGAGGAGCCCAAAAGTTCCTGGTGATTAAATCCTGGGTGCCCAGCACCTTAAGCTTATATGATAAAAAGTATGATTTTCCAGTCTCCCAAAAGTAAACGTAAGTCACCTGTGGCACCTGGGCACTTCTAGTGCACAACCCTGTGTCTCCCTTAACAACAGTGAGACAAGCCAGCAAAACTAGTTGTAATGCTATTAATTACTTATGTTTGTGATTTTTTAAGAGTGGAGGGATGTAGAAAATAGCCAGTTGTTAGGGAAAAAGACCTTCTCAAACTCAAATCTTAATTGTGACAGTGTTTGGATTTCTAATCTTAATCAGCATAGGTTTTTACCATTTTATTTCTCCATTTTCTCCTTAGTCCTAGTTTCAATTGAGAAGGTAATATCAAGACACTCAAAGCAGGGTTTGACCACATTTCCTAACACCTCTGTCAAAGTTTGTCAAGAATACTGCTACGCATCACATTTTCAACTCTCTTCTCAGTGTTTGGAAATGTGGTCAAACATGGTCTTCTGTGTTTGATCATTTACTTCATTTTCTTTGCCTTCTACTATACTCAGCTGGGCTGTACATCTATTTCTGTGCAAAAAAAAGGAACTTTCATGTTTTTACAAACTATTTGACCCTTATCCTGAGACTGGCAAACAAATGCATGTATGTTTCTCACTTTTTTTTTAATGTTTGCCAATGATCAGCCTGGTGGGGGGCTCCCATATAAAAAAGGAGAGAGGTGCTCACCGGAAATTTTGAAAAGAACCCCTAAGATGTAACAAGATCCTGTTTAGTGTGCATGGCTTGAAATTTTGTCAACCCTTAAGAGGTAACAATTCTAAAACAACATATCTGTCGTACTTTTTTTTTCAACTCAATACCCCAGAAGGTACTGTAAAAGCTCCCGCTGTGGACCTTTTGAGGCTGAAAACCCTCTGAGGTAACAAAACTGCTTTTTTTTTAAACCCCAAAGAGCGAAGATGAGCATCCCAATCCCACCCCTGGGTGATCAGACAAAAGTTAAAAGCATAGAGCCATCACTACTTATACAAGGAGTGCATGGAGCAAAACCCAAGACGTGACTCACTTCTGCTCGATTTCAAAACAGTTTTCAATTTGCATTATATTTTTTTGGTGTAGGACAATAGTCCGGCAAAAATGCGACTGCCGATTTCGTGTCGATTCATACGTCGCACTTGTCTACAAAATAGTACTTGCCGAGGGAGCGACCGTTCTATTTACATGGATGAGAGCGCCCCTTACATCACATCGGTACATCTTTTATAATAAACCCCAGTGATGTTGAATATTAAGGAGACTCTTTCCCTTCCTCTGCATACTCTGGGAAGTCTCCTACTAATCTGCCTAATACTGGTGTGACAGCACCGTTCTCTAAGTGCTGAGATCAAGTGCTAGGGCACCGTTGATAATGCGGTACATGTCCGGGGAGGAATTCCCAAGGGGGCGGCTCGTCGCCGGATTCTGGTTTCCCTTACGGTGTTCATGACGAAACGCCACTATTTTTAGCTTTAAAACTATCTTTCAGGGTGCACTCGAGACCGAATGATAATGAGTCCGGTCCTCTAGCGCTCTCTCCTCTCCAGTGGCTGGTAGTCAAGCCTATTCCGTTTTAAGTGGTATCTTTTAGGAGCCAAATAAGGCTCGAGCCACGCCTAGATTGGTTTCCTTTAAATTTTCCGACCAGCATCGCCGAGCTTTTCATATGGGTGTCGACCCCTCCCCTCCCGGGGTGGGAAGGAGGTACATGGCGGAGCGAAAAGATCAAGCCGTAAGGTGAATGGTAATGGTATATATATGCTGATAAATGAGCGACGCTGGATCTCGCGGAAACTGCGCTGGGTTTTGGAAGCCAGTGAGTAATACGCTGGTAACCATGGAATTAATACACCGTTCAACTGATCGAAAATTCGCAATTTGGAGTAAATCCGTCGATTATACGTCTACGGGAATTCATTGAGCTTCGCACGGAGATGGTCCCCCGGGAGGACTTCATATAAAAAGGACGGGGGGGGGGTGCTCGTCGTACCTTTAAGGGGTTTTGGTAGCTCTTGGGGTGTTCAGCCTCAAAAGGTCCGTAGCGGAAGCTTCTTCGGCCTTTTAGGATATTGAGCCGAAAAAATATGGCAGGAGGTATTGTTTTGTTCAGTAGAATTTGCACCTCTTAGCTGGGGGTGAAAAAAAAAAAAAAATTCAAGCCACGCCCACAAAACAGGATGTTGATACCTCTTAGGGGTTCTTTTCAAAATTTCCGACGAACACTCCCGTCCTCTTATATGGGAGTACCCCCCCCCCCTGGAGGATGGCTATTTAGCCTTGTAACTACTAACCTCACCACTGCCCGCTTGGACCGTTAGCCTCTGACAACATAACGGTTCCCACTCGGCTATGATGGCAAGCGAACAGCTGATCCTATGCAGGACGCCTGTCACATATGAGCTCAGTTAAGGGGGTCTTATACTCTCAGATATAAATTTTTCTCCAAAAAACCATTTTTTTCGGAACATGAAGATTCAACATCCCTGTCCATTTGTAAATCGTATTCTGAAACGATTTTCCTCTAATTACTCCTGAATTTACGTTTAAATTAAGAAATCTGAACACTTCTAGCTATATTTCAACATAGCAACACCCATAGCAACCATTATTTACAGTCTAAAAGTACACACGAAATGGATTCAGTTCAGTGCATTTTAATGATACTTTACACAAACGCTTTAAAGATGTGAAGTTATGAGAATTTTGCACCATGGTCCTGAACATTGTTTCTTCTACCATCTTACACGCTCCTTATACTTGGTTAACATTTCTATGACTGGTGTGTATTCGGGTGTTCAATGAAACACTTATGTAAAACCTTTAAATGTACCTCTCCCCCTGCCCCTAACCTCCCGAAGACCGAAGTAAAACTTTAAAGCCTTATTTCTCAAAATGGCCAAATAGACGGATCATCGATATCTCGCACACGATATCTCCACTGAGTTTTAACCGAATGTCAAATTTTCAACATTGGTGAAGGACACAATTATCTTGGTCTTAAACCTCCAAAATTTGCAATTTATGAAATTTTCCCCTGTTATTTAGTTAATATAGTTAATATTAGTTAATATTAGCATACTTTTCAACAGTACACGAGAAAAACCCCCTCAAAACACTGTTTTCTGAGGTTTGTCTCCTGGACAACTTGCTCATGGACAGGATGAACTTAATTCCATACTTCTCGAACCATTCATTATTACGTTGTCGTGTTTATAATGAACACCACTTTTTAACCCTTAGGAGCTAGTTATTCATTAACTATCGTGGCACGTGACCTGGAAAAGCTCATTTTTGAAGTCAGAGTGCAAAGTCCTTTAACGTGGTACCAAAACTGTTACACAGAGTTGTTTCGCAAAAAAAAAAAATTATATATAAGACCCCCTTAAATGACCTTACTCTCCATTCGTCATTTCCACATCCCTCATGTAATACACCTTGTTTGCCCCCCAAAATTTTGCATAAGCATTGTCTTCAGTTTCCCTTGGGACGACTGTAATACCCAGGAGAAATGGGAAACAAAGGTTGAGCAGAATTTTCGGGGGCAAACAAGGTGTATTATGGGGGAAGTGGAAATGGCGAATGAGTTCTCGTAGCTCAGTGAATAGAGCGCCCGCCCGGTGTCCGGGAGGTCATGGGTTCGATTCCTGTCGGCAACTCAGATTTTTTCTTTGTCCCACGCTCGGTGTCATGTTAATCGGTTCACTTTTCACATTTCATTACCGAGCTTAAAACTTCAACATCTTTATTCACTTATCAAAGTGGAGTTAGTTTTAAAATTTCCAACAACTTCCCAAACGGTAACTGAGCTTCCGCCAGGACAACAACTCGCAATTCTTCGCCTAAACATTTCCCAAAGTGATTTCAGGCCCGGTTCAAACGCCGCTCCACTCATGTGCCGAACCAAACTTGATTAAGTTCGACTTTAGAGCAACTTTGGAGCAACGGCTGGTTCAGACGGCGTACTTACGTTGAGCTTAATACGGGAAGCCGGTGGTAACAATTTTCGACGAGAAAATATGCGTTCTGAATTCACGAACTCTGTCTAAATAAAAAAGCTGTGACTAATAACATTTCGCTGTTATCTGCTGTTATAGCATTATTAAGGGAAGCAAATTCAAACTCAAGGTTAAGTGTTTTGTATTTAGACAGGTTTTCTCCCGGTTAAATCGACTTGTTAAAGGGAAATCTAATAAGCTGGGCTATATATTATCACGAGGAAACTCGCTTATACAGTCCCGTTTCTCATAAATCGAAGGCATACTGGTATTTTGTTGTCTTTATTTTTAGCGACGACTTTGAGCTTCATATATGACTAGTCACGCCACTCAATTTTGAGCCAAACACGAGGCCCGTTATATTTGGAAATTTAGGACTCTAGCCGCTTTCGTGAGTTCTACAAAAGGCTACAGGCGATGTTAAGGGTTTGTATCTAAGTCAGTGGAATGCTTCCAATATATGTAGATAACAGTAACCCCTCAATTGTTTGTTAGAGACTGAGCAAGGTAAGATCAGTTTGTGATGAAATAAATTCCTAAATGTTATCCTGACTGTTTCATTGATTAATTTTCTGTATATTTTGATTTCTTGAGTTCAGCCGACGCTAAGAAGAAGATTTAAGGTAGGTAGCAAGATTTCCCTGATCTCAATATGACTGATAAATATAAGTATATAAGTCAAGGTCATTCCCCAATATTACATTGCGCATCCTTACTGCGAATAATTTATGGCGTCATTAGCGCACGTTCGTGCACGCGCGCATTGAAAACATGGCGGATTTGCCTTGATATTGAGTCCTGTCAGTTGAAAAATGGCAATTAGTTCACTAACGAACTCGGGCACCCCAAATTTTTTTCCAATCATTTTAATCAAGTAATCATTAGCTTTGCGTGATATAAGACTGATCTGATTTCTATTGTTGAAAATTGAATAAATAAGGAAAATAGCAGCTGCACTGTAGTCGACTTTCCTATTTTGCAGTTTGATAACCATGGCAAGTAATTTGGGTCCAATATTTTAACAAGGATTCAGCTTTGTGTCAAAAGCAAACTTAAAAAGTTTATTTGTGTCCGACACAAGTATTGACTGTAGTTTGAGGCGTGCTTTCATGAGTCTGGGCTCACAAAGAGATTACAATAACTTGGAATGCGTTCTTGTAATAAGCATTAAATAACGCTAAAATGGGACATTTTTAATGCCTCACTGTTCCTTAACGAGCACGGGCAGCCCCCTTTTATATTTTATAATTTACGTTCTCATATGATAAATATTCATTGGACAAAGTTTGATCAAAAATCTATGTGCAGTTTCATTTCAGGGGAATTACCTTACTGTAAGTAAGATATACGTGCGTAATAATGAAATGGATTCATTTAGAAGTTCGCAGTAGATAATAACACAAATTTCTTCGGGTTACGCTCTCCGTCAGCCCGGCTTTCCCATTTTATTTTTTTTGGTAGCTTATTTTCACCGTGGCATAATGTTTCTATAGATGTTGTGCTAGTGAAATAAATTCGTCGCTTCTTCCTCTTTGAAGAAGCCCTTGTGCCCACTTTAAGCAAGCTTTTAAACTGACGACGTAAAATAAAAGTGAGTTTGATTATGAAGGTGCCTGTTTTTGTGCGCGAATAAATCAAACGAGTAAAATTATCTACAGTATCATTTTTTTATTCAAGTAAAACTTTAACACGATGGGAAAAAAAGAGTCGCTAATTACGTCATGTAATTTTCTTCGGCGTCTTTATGCGTTCTGTGCGATGCCAGCATTTTGCTACGGTTTTGTATCATTCAGTATTACGCTGGATTACTGTTAGTATCTATGTATGAAAATTCACGGTTTTCAACTTATATTACAATGTTTTGCTAGTGATATTGATTAATTTGCTACAGATTTTGATTTCTTGTGTTCATCCGACGCTAAGAAGAAGACCTAAGGTAGGAAGCATTAAGATTTCCCTGATCTCAATATGACTGACAAATAAAAGTAGATAAGTTGATGTGAGTAAGAAGTACGCATGTATTGATGCAAAGCATTTATTTAGAAGTTCGCAGTAGACGGTAATACAGAGTTCTCAGGGTTAAACTCTCCGTCAGCCTATCTTACTGTATTTTTGTCGGTAGCTTATTTTTACTGTGGCATGTTTGTGTATTTTGCCAGCGAAATAAATTCGTCACTTGTTGCTCTTTTAAGGAGCACTCGTTCCAACTTTAAGCAAGCTTTTAAACTGACGACGAAAAATCAAACATTATGAAGGTGTGTTTTCTTGAGAAAATCAATCAAACGAGAATAATTCTCTACAGTACAGTATGATTTTTTTTTTTCAATTATAACTGAACAATAATCAGGATGCAAAAAACCAAACTAAGATTTACTACGTCTTTTGCTTTCTCTTTGCGTGGTTAACGTGCCTTGTTAACATCCACAAATCATCAATTATTAATTGTGTCATCATAATTCGCGGTGCCTTCGTGGTTAGCGCGCTCATCTCTGGATCCAGCGGTGCGGGTTCGAGCCCTGGCTTGGGACATTGTGTTGTGTTCTCAGGCAAGACACTTTACTCTCACAATGCCTCTCTCCACTTAGGTGTATAATGAGTACCGGCGAATTTAATGCTGGGGTCTAACCCTGCGATGGACTAGGATTCAGTTCATTCCAGGGAGGAAAGAAAATACTCCTAGTCGCTTCATCCTATAGAAATCGGGATAAGCTCCGGCCTGATGAGCCACTTGGCTCATATGCAGACTTTATCTATAATAATTCCGTTAATTAAATACAAAGGAGAGATTCAATAACCAGCGATGCAGGTGGTTTTAGTCAGTATCTCACTTTTTGATTGTTTTTTTTTTCTTACAAACGCAGCATACAAGTAAAGTAATTGAACAACGTCAATGCAATGCAATTGGAATATTGCGCCGGACTGAAAAGAAGAATTCAAAACGATCATGCAGTGCTCCAAAATTATGTCCATAACAGCCACCCCTCAATGAAATGGAGCCTTGTTTTCCATCATGCAATACAGTTTAGAAACAAACTTTGCTTAAAACACAATGCCTTTCTTAATTCTCATAATATTTTCATTTTACAAATTATCAATTATCAGTTGCGTTATCATAATTCATATACCGTAAATTAAATACAAAAGAAAGAATCAATAACCAGCGACGCAGATAGTTCGACTCAGTATTTCAATTATAATTTTTCTTTTTTTCACAAAAACAGCGTACAACTAAAGTAATTGAACAACACCGAGAAAAGACACTGATATGGGGTAGACGAATTCAAAATCTGCAAAACCTCCACATTCTGATGAAAGAAAACGAAATTTATTCAATCTATCAGTCTTATCACGGTACTAGAACTATAAATTAAATATGTCTGGAAATTTAGGACTTTAGCCGCTTTCGTGAGTTCTACTGAAAACAACAGGCGGTGTTAAGGGTGTGTATCTAAGTCAGTGGAATGCTTCCAAAATATAGACATAACAGCCACCCCTCAATTGTTTGTTAGAGACTGAGCAAGGTAAGATCAGTTTGATACGAAATGAATTTTCAAATGTTCTTCTGACTGTTTCATTGATTAATTTGCTGCAGATTTTGATTTCTTGAGTTTATCCGACGCTAAGAGGAAGATTTAAGGTAGGTAGCGTTAAGATTTCCCTGATCTCAATATGATTGACCAATAAACTGAAAGTATATAACTTGATGTGAGTAAGAAGTACTTATGTCAGTAATAATGCAAAGGATTCATTTAGAAGTTCGCAATAAATGGTAACACAAAGTTCTTAGGGTTTAACTCTCCGTCAACCTATCTCATTTTATTTTTGTTGGGAATTTATTTTCACTGTGGCATGTTGATTGTATTTCGTGCTTATAGTGGAATAAATTCGTCGTTTGGTTGTCTTTTAAGGAACGCTTGTGGCTAGCTTTAGCCAAATGTTTAAATTGACGTTGTATATAAAATCAAAGGGATTTTGATTATGAAAATTTGTGTTTTTGGCCGTAAATTAATCAATCGAGAAAAATTTTTCTACAGCATGATTTGTGTTTCAAGTAAAATTGAATAACGTAAGAATTACGATGGATAAAAAGATTCGCTAATTACGTTATGTAATTTTCTTTGGCGTGGTTCAGGCGCACTTTATGCGTTCAGTGTGATGCCAGCATTTTGGTACGGTTTTGTATCATTTAATATTGCGCTGAATTACTGTTAATTTCTACGTATGAAAATTCACGGTTTTCCAACTTATATTACAATGTCTGCTATTCAATGCAATTGGAATGTTGCGTTTGAAAAAAGAGGAATTTAAAACAATCAGGTAGTGCTCCAAAATTATGTCCATAATAGCCAACCCTCAAGTAAAATGGAACCTTGTTTTCCATCATACAATACAGTTTAGAAGCAAACTTTGCTTAAAACACAATGCCTTTCGTAATTCTCTTAATATTTTCATTTTGCAAATTATCAATTATCAGTTGCGTTATCATAATTCATATTCCGTAATCATAATACCGTTAATTAAATACAAAAAAAAGAATCAATAACCAGCGATGCAGGTAGTTCTAGTCAGTATTTCACTTATAATTTTTCTTTTTTTTCACAACAGCACAACACATGCAATTAAAGTAATAGAACAACACCGAGAAAAACACTGATATGGGGTAGACGAATTCAAAATCTGCAAAACCGCTACATTCTAATGAAAGAAAACAAAATTTATCCAGTCTATCAGTCTTAAGCCGCAACTAGAACTATAAAGTAAATATGTTTGGAAATTTTAATTAAAAGGACTTCGGTCGCTTTCGTGAGTTCTGCAAAAAGCTACAGGTGATGCTAAGGGTGTGTATCTAAGTCAGTGGAATGTTTCCAAAATATAGACATAACAGCCACCCCTCAATTGTTTGTTAGAGACTGAGCAAGGTAAGATCAGTACGAGATGAAATGTCGGAATTCCTAAATATTATCCTGGTTGTCTCACTGATCGAATAATCTGCAGATTTAGGAGCGAAATAATCGCTACAGTGGGGAAAAATTCCGGACCGTGGGCCGTATCGTAAAAAGCTGGACCGGTCACGTGCGTATAATTAGCCAATCAAATTCGAGAATTTAGGATTCCTCCCCGCTCAGATGCTTGAGAAAAAAAATAAATTTGTAGATTTAGGACTTTTGTGAGTTCTATAAAAAGCTACAGTCGATGTTAAGGGTGTGTATCTAAGTCAGTGGAATGCTCCCAATATATATCTATGTACATAACAGCCACCCCTCAGTTGTTTGTTAGAGTGAGCAAGGTAAGATCAGTCTAATTTGAGACGAAATATCGGAATTCCTAAATGTTATCCTGACTGTTTCATCGATGAATTTTCTGCAGATTTTAATTTCTTGAGTTCATCCGACGCTAAGAAGAAGATCCAAGGTAGGAAGCAAGATTTCTCTGATCTCAATAAGACTGACAAATAAAAGTGTCTAAGTTGATGTGAATTAAATATAGGTAGGTACTAATGCAGAGGGCTCATTTAGAAGTTTGCAGCAGATGGTAACACAGAGTTCTTAGGGTTAAACCCTTCATCAGGCTATCTCAAAGTATTTTTGTTAGTGGCTTATTTTTACTATGGCTCTTTGTATTTTGTACTCATAGTGGAATAAATTCGTCGCCTGTTGCTCTCTTTTAAGGAATGCTCGTGGCCACTTTAAGCAAGCTTTTAAACTATCGACTTGAAATTAAAGGGATTTTGATTCTGAAGGTGTGTGTTTTCTTGCACAAATTAGTCAAACCAGAAAAATTCATTACGGTATGCAATTTTTTTCAAAAAAAGTAAAACACATAAGAAATACACTGGGAAAAAAGATTCGCAAATTACGTTATGTAATTTTCTTTGGCGTGGTTCAGGCGCACTTTATGCGTTCTGTGTGGTGCCGGCATTTTGGTACGGTTTTGTGTCATTCAGTAATGCGCTGGATTACTGTTAATTTCTAGATATGAAAATTCACGGTTTTCAACTTATATTACAATGTTTGTTTGTTATTCAATGCAATTGGAATGTTGCGACCGAAAAAAGAGGAATTCAAAACAATCATGTCATGCTCCAAAAGTATGTCCATAACAGCCAACCCTCAATTAAAATGGAACCTTGCTTAAAACACACAATGCCTTTCTTAATTCTCAAAATATTTCATTTTAAAAATCATCAATTATCAGTTGCGTTATCATATCTTCGTTAATTAAATACAAAAGAAAGAATCAATAACCAGCGATATGCAGGTAGTTTCAGTCAGTATATCATTTATAATTGTTCTTTTTTTTTCAGAAAACCAGCATACAACTAAAGTAATCGAACAACACAGAAAAAAACACTGATATGGGGTAGACGAATTTAAAATCTGCAAAACCTCCACATTCTAATGACGGAAATCGAAATTTATTCAATCTATCAGTCTGAAACCGAAACTAAAACTATAAAGTAAATATGTCTGGAAATTTAGGACTTTGGTCGCTTTCGTGACTTCTACTGAAAGCTACAGGCGATGTTAAGGGTGTGTATTTAAGTCTGTGGAATATTTCCAAAATATAGACATAACAGCCACCCCTCAATTGTTTGTTAGAGACTGAGCAAGGTAAGATCAGTTTGAGATTAAACGAATTCCTAAATGGCGTCCTGACTGTTTCATTGATTAATTTGCTACAGATTTTGATTTCTTGAGTTCATCCGACGCTAAGAAGAAGACTTAAGGTAGGTAGCAAGATTTTCCTGTTCTTGATATGACTGACAAATGAAAGTGTATAAGTTAATGTAAGTAAGATACACGTATGTAATAATGAAAAGGATTCATTTAGAAGTTCGCAGTAGATAATAACACAAATTTCTTCGGGTTACGCTCTCCGTCAGCCCGGCTTTCCCATTTTATTTTTTTTGGTAGCTTATTTTCACCGTGGCATAATGTTTCTATAGATGTTGTGCTAGTGAAATAAATTCGTCGCTTCTTCCTCTTTGAAGAAGCCCTTGTGCCCACTTTAAGCAAGCTTTTAAACTGACGACGTAAAATAAAAGTGAGTTTGATTATGAAGGTGCCTGTTTTTGTGCGCGAATAAATCAAACGAGTAAAATTATCTACAGTATCATTTTTTTATTCAAGTAAAACTTCAACACGATGGGAAAAATAGATTCACTAATTACGTCATGTAATTTTCTTCGGCGTCTTTATGCGTTCTGTGCGATGCCAGCATTTTGCTACGGTTTTGTATCATTCGGTATTGCACTGGATTACTGTTAGTATCTATGTATGAAAATGAACGGTTTTGTAACCTAGCTTAGTGATTTACGTTACAATGTTTACTATTCAATGCAATTGGAATATTGCGCCGGACTGAAAAGAAGAATTCAAAACGATCATGCAGTGCTCCAAAATTATGTCCATAACAGCCACCCCTCAATGAAATGGAGCCTTGTTTTCCATCATGCAATACAGTTTAGAAACAAACTTTGCTTAAAACACAATGCCTTTCTTAATTCTCATAATATTTTCATTTTACAAATTATCAATTATCAGTTGCGTTATCATAATTCATATACCGTAAATTAAATACAAAAGAAAGAATCAATAACCAGCGACGCAGATAGTTCGACTCAGTATTTCAATTATAATTTTTCTTTTTTTCACAAAAACAGCGTACAACTAAAGTAATTGAACAACACCGAGAAAAGACACTGATATGGGGTAGACGAATTCAAAATCTGCAAAACCACATTCTGATGAAAGAAAACGAAATTTATTCAATCTATCAGTCTTATCACGGTACTAGAACTATAAATTAAATATGTCTGGAAATTTAGCACTTTAGCCGCTTTCGTGAGTTCTACTGAAAGCAACAGGCGGTGTTAAGGGTGTGTATCTAAGTCAGTGGAATGCTTCCAAAATATAGACATAACAGCCACCCCTCAACTATTTGTTAGAGACCGAGCAAGGTAAGATCAGTTTGAGATTAAACGAATTCCTAAATGTCATCCTGACTGTTTCATTGATTAATTTTCTGCAGATTTTGATTTCTTGAGTTCATCCGCCTCTAAGTAGAAGATTTAAGGTAGGTAACAAGATTTTCCTGTTCTTAATATGACTGACAAATAAAAGTGTATAAGTTAAGATCATTCCCCAGTATTGCATTCTGCGCATAATTTATGGCGTCATTGGCGCGCGTTCGTGCACGCGCGCATTGAAAACATGGCGGATTTGCCTTGATATTGAGTCCTGTCAGTTGAAAAATGGCTATAGCTCACTGACGAAATCGGGCACCCCAAATATTTTTCCAGTCATTTTAATCAACTAATCATTAGCTTTGCGTGAGAAAAGACTGATCTGATTTCTGTTGTTGAAATTGAATAAATAAGGAAAATAGCAGCTGCACTGTAGTCTTTTCAATTTTGCAGTTTGATAGCCGTGGCAAGCAATTTGGTTCCAATATATATTTTATCAAGGATTCAGCTGTCTGTCAAAATAAAACTTAAAACGTTTGTTTGTGTCCGACACAAGTATTGACTGTAGTTTGAGGCGTGTTTTCATGAGTCTCGGCTCACGAAGAGTTTACAATAACTTGGAATGCGCTCTTGTAATAAGCATTAAATAACGCTAAAATGGGACGTTTTCAATGCCTCACGGCTCCTTAACGAGCACGGGCAGCCCCCTTTTTTATTTTATAATTTACGTTCTCATATGATAAATGTTCATTGGACAAAGTTTGATCAGAAATCTATGTGCAGTTTTATTTCAGGGGAATTACCTTACTGTAAGTAAGATATACGTGCGTACGTAACATTGAAAAGGATTCACTTCGAAGTTCGCAGTGGATGGTAAAACAAATTTCTTCGGGTTAAGCTCTCCGTCAGCCCGGCTTTCTCATTTTATTTTTGTTGGTAGCTTATTTTCACCGTGGCATAATGTTTCTATAGATGTTGTGCTAGTGAAATAAATTCGTCGCTTCTTCCTCTCTGAAGAAGCCCTTGTGCCCACTTTGAGCAAGCTTTTAAACTGACGACGTAAAATAAAAGTGAGTTTGATTATGAAGGTGCCTGTTTTTGTGCGCGAATAAATCAAACGAGTAAAATTATCTACAGTATCATTTTTTTATTCAAGTAAAACTTTAACACGATGGGAAAAAAAGAGTCGCTAATTACGTCATGTAATTTTCTTCGGCGTCTTTATGCGTTCTGTGCGATGCCAGCATTTTGCTACGGTTTTGTATCATTCGGTATTGCACTGGATTACTGTTAGTATCTATGTATGAAAATGAACGGTTTTGTAACCTAGCTTAGTGATTTACGTTACAATGTTTACTATTCAATGCAATTGGAATATTGCGCCGGACTGAAAAGAAGAATTCAAAACGATCATGCAGTGCTCCAAAATTATGTCCATAACAGCCACCCCTCAATGAAATGGAGCCTTGTTTTCCATCATGCAATACAGTTTAGAAACAAACTTTGCTTAAAACACAATGCCTTTCTTAATTCTCATAATATTTTCATTTTACAAATTATCAATTATCAGTTGCGTTATCATAATTCATATACCGTAAATTAAATACAAAAGAAAGAATCAATAACCAGCGACGCAGATAGTTCGACTCAGTATTTCAATTATAATTTTTCTTTTTTTCACAAAAACAGCGTACAACTAAAGTAATTGAACAACACCGAGAAAAGACACTGATATGGGGTAGACGAATTCAAAATCTGCAAAACCTCCACATTCTGATGAAAGAAAACGAAATTTATTCAATCTATCAGTCTTATCACGGTACTAGAACTATAAATTAAATATGTCTGGAAATTTAGGACTTTAGCCGCTTTCGTGAGTTCTACTGAAAACAACAGGCGGTGTTAAGGGTGTGTATCTAAGTCAGTGGAATGCTTCCAAAATATAGACATAACAGCCACCCCTCAATTGTTTGTTAGAGACTGAGCAAGGTAAGATCAGTTTGATACGAAATGAATTTTCAAATGTTCTTCTGACTGTTTCATTGATTAATTTGCTGCAGATTTTGATTTCTTGAGTTTATCCGACGCTAAGAGGAAGATTTAAGGTAGGTAGCGTTAAGATTTCCCTGATCTCAATATGATTGACCAATAAACTGAAAGTATATAACTTGATGTGAGTAAGAAGTACTTATGTCAGTAATAATGCAAAGGATTCATTTAGAAGTTCGCAATAAATGGTAACACAAAGTTCTTAGGGTTTAACTCTCCGTCAACCTATCTCATTTTATTTTTGTTGGGAATTTATTTTCACTGTGGCATGTTGATTGTATTTCGTGCTTATAGTGGAATAAATTCGTCGTTTGGTTGTCTTTTAAGGAACGCTTGTGGCTAGCTTTAGCCAAATGTTTAAATTGACGTTGTATATAAAATCAAAGGGATTTTGATTATGAAAATTTGTGTTTTTGGCCGTAAATTAATCAATCGAGAAAAATTTTTCTACAGCATGATTTGTGTTTCAAGTAAAATTGAATAACGTAAGAATTACGATGGATAAAAAGATTCGCTAATTACGTTATGTAATTTTCTTTGGCGTGGTTCAGGCGCACTTTATGCGTTCAGTGTGATGCCAGCATTTTGGTACGGTTTTGTATCATTTAATATTGCGCTGAATTACTGTTAATTTCTACGTATGAAAATTCACGGTTTTCCAACTTATATTACAATGTCTGCTATTCAATGCAATTGGAATGTTGCGTTTGAAAAAAGAGGAATTTAAAACAATCAGGTAGTGCTCCAAAATTATGTCCATAATAGCCAACCCTCAAGTAAAATGGAACCTTGTTTTCCATCATACAATACAGTTTAGAAGCAAACTTTGCTTAAAACACAATGCCTTTCGTAATTCTCTTAATATTTTCATTTTGCAAATTATCAATTATCAGTTGCGTTATCATAATTCATATTCCGTAATCATAATACCGTTAATTAAATACAAAAAAAAGAATCAATAACCAGCGATGCAGGTAGTTCTAGTCAGTATTTCACTTATAATTTTTCTTTTTTTTCACAACAGCACAACACATGCAATTAAAGTAATAGAACAACACCGAGAAAAACACTGATATGGGGTAGACGAATTCAAAATCTGCAAAACCGCTACATTCTAATGAAAGAAAACAAAATTTATCCAGTCTATCAGTCTTAAGCCGCAACTAGAACTATAAAGTAAATATGTTTGGAAATTTTAATTAAAAGGACTTCGGTCGCTTTCGTGAGTTCTGCAAAAAGCTACAGGTGATGCTAAGGGTGTGTATCTAAGTCAGTGGAATGTTTCCAAAATATAGACATAACAGCCACCCCTCAATTGTTTGTTAGAGACTGAGCAAGGTAAGATCAGTACGAGATGAAATGTCGGAATTCCTAAATATTATCCTGGTTGTCTCACTGATCGAATAATCTGCAGATTTAGGAGCGAAATAATCGCTACAGTGGGGAAAAATTCCGGACCGTGGGCCGTATCGTAAAAAGCTGGACCGGTCACGTGCGTATAATTAGCCAATCAAATTCGAGAATTTAGGATTCCTCCCCGCTCAGATGCTTGAGAAAAAAAATAAATTTGTAGATTTAGGACTTTTGTGAGTTCTATAAAAAGCTACAGTCGATGTTAAGGGTGTGTATCTAAGTCAGTGGAATGCTCCCAATATATATCTATGTACATAACAGCCACCCCTCAGTTGTTTGTTAGAGTGAGCAAGGTAAGATCAGTCTAATTTGAGACGAAATATCGGAATTCCTAAATGTTATCCTGACTGTTTCATCGATGAATTTTCTGCAGATTTTAATTTCTTGAGTTCATCCGACGCTAAGAAGAAGATCCAAGGTAGGAAGCAAGATTTCTCTGATCTCAATAAGACTGACAAATAAAAGTGTCTAAGTTGATGTGAATTAAATATAGGTAGGTACTAATGCAGAGGGCTCATTTAGAAGTTTGCAGCAGATGGTAACACAGAGTTCTTAGGGTTAAACCCTTCATCAGGCTATCTCAAAGTATTTTTGTTAGTGGCTTATTTTTACTATGGCTCTTTGTATTTTGTACTCATAGTGGAATAAATTCGTCGCCTGTTGCTCTCTTTTAAGGAATGCTCGTGGCCACTTTAAGCAAGCTTTTAAACTATCGACTTGAAATTAAAGGGATTTTGATTCTGAAGGTGTGTGTTTTCTTGCACAAATTAGTCAAACCAGAAAAATTCATTACGGTATGCAATTTTTTTCAAAAAAAGTAAAACACATAAGAAATACACTGGGAAAAAAGATTCGCAAATTACGTTATGTAATTTTCTTTGGCGTGGTTCAGGCGCACTTTATGCGTTCTGTGTGGTGCCGGCATTTTGGTACGGTTTTGTGTCATTCAGTAATGCGCTGGATTACTGTTAATTTCTAGATATGAAAATTCACGGTTTTCAACTTATATTACAATGTTTGTTTGTTATTCAATGCAATTGGAATGTTGCGACCGAAAAAAGAGGAATTCAAAACAATCATGTCATGCTCCAAAAGTATGTCCATAACAGCCAACCCTCAATTAAAATGGAACCTTGCTTAAAACACACAATGCCTTTCTTAATTCTCAAAATATTTCATTTTAAAAATCATCAATTATCAGTTGCGTTATCATATCTTCGTTAATTAAATACAAAAGAAAGAATCAATAACCAGCGATATGCAGGTAGTTTCAGTCAGTATATCATTTATAATTGTTCTTTTTTTTTCAGAAAACCAGCATACAACTAAAGTAATCGAACAACACAGAAAAAAACACTGATATGGGGTAGACGAATTTAAAATCTGCAAAACCTCCACATTCTAATGACGGAAATCGAAATTTATTCAATCTATCAGTCTGAAACCGAAACTAAAACTATAAAGTAAATATGTCTGGAAATTTAGGACTTTGGTCGCTTTCGTGACTTCTACTGAAAGCTACAGGCGATGTTAAGGGTGTGTATTTAAGTCTGTGGAATATTTCCAAAATATAGACATAACAGCCACCCCTCAATTGTTTGTTAGAGACTGAGCAAGGTAAGA